AGAAGGATAAACATCTTGTTGATATGCCCCAATATATGATATACTGTATTTCACTCCAGTCACCTAACATAGTATTAATACCTGGTCATGGAATAGATTTATAGCTCCACCCAAGACACAAACAAGTTCTGGCTGTTGATGGAACAAATATGAGTTGAATTGTAAATCATAAACTGAGGTTTTCGTTATCAGAGAAGCAGAGAGATGAAATATGTCTGTGTTATATGCACTGTATATAAGTATTTGTGAGTTTTAAAATGGCTATACAGTTGATCCAAATCATCAAATGTTTTCCTTTTCCAGGTGTCTGACACAGTTGTCGAACCCTACAACGCAACCTTGTCTGTGCATCAACTGGTTGAGAACACTGATGAGTCCTACTGTATCGACAACGAAGCCCTCTACGACATCTGCTTCAGGACACTGAAGCTGACCACACCCACCTACGGTGACCTCAACCATCTGGTGTCCGCCACCATGTCCGGAGTAACAACATGTCTCCGATTCCCTGGACAGTTGAACGCTGATCTCCGAAAACTGGCTGTCAACATGGTGCCCTTCCCTCGTCTCCACTTCTTCATGCCTGGATTCGCTCCACTCACATCCAGAGGAAGCCAACAGTACCGTGCCCTGACTGTCCCCGAACTCACCCAACAGATGTTTGATGCCAAGAACATGATGGCTGCCTGCGATCCCCGACACGGCCGCTACCTGACCGTGGCTGCCATGTTCCGAGGTCGCATGTCCATGAAGGAGGTTGACGAACAGATGCTCAACGTCCAAAATAAAAACAGCAGCTACTTTGTTGAATGGATCCCCAACAACGTTAAAACCGCCGTCTGTGATATCCCACCACGTGGTCTCAAGATGTCGTCTACCTTCATTGGTAACAGCACAGCCATCCAGGAGATCTTCAAACGTATCTCCGAGCAGTTCACGGCCATGTTCAGGAGAAAGGCTTTCCTCCATTGGTACACTGGCGAGGGCATGGACGAGATGGAGTTCACTGAGGCCGAGTCCAACATGAACGACTTGGTGTCTGAGTACCAGCAGTACCAGGACGCCACCGCCGAGGAAGAGGGAGAATTTGATGAGGAGGAAGGAGAAGCTGAGGAAGCCTAGACCTGCATATATTTGTAGACTCAGAAATAAATCTGAACCCAATCAATATTTAATTTCTCTTGTTTTTCAATGCACATTATTGATTAGAAATTATTATTAGTTTTTGACAACGAATATACATTTGTGACTTTCAGAAACACAATGGAAACCGACAGCTTTAGCAAATGACCACAGTACGAATGTTCAACCACATTCATAAAAGGAATTTACAACATTATGTCTTTGTACTTTTCCAGATCTGTATGTTTCCGCGCTTTATTGTATGAAACACATGCGAACATACACAACATTTCGTGAACTGTCGATCTGTTTGTGTTTCTGAAATTGCAAAATAGATCATTGTATTCATAACCCAGGCACGTTTGTAAAATAAGTTTTTGTATCAAATACATGTACAAACGCTTCTTTTATCAGTGGAATTGTGTATTATGATTGATTGTGCAATGGCGTCAGTTTGTACATTCATTGGTATTTGTTTGCATTTTAATAACCCTATTTCTAAGATATGTGAGTGAGTAAATGAGTGAGTTTAGTTTTATGTCGCTTTTAGCAATATTCCAGCAATATCACGACAGGGGACACCAGAAATAGGCTTCACACAATGTACCCATGTGGGGTATCGAACCCGGATCTTCGGCGTGACGAGCGAACGCTTTAACCACTAGTGGGCTACCCCACCGCCCTAGAAGATGGGACTGTGTTTGTTTGTTGCTTAACGCTGCTCTCGGCAATATTCCCGCTACATGGCGGCGGTCTGGACAGAAAATCCAGTGATCAACGGCATGAGCATCGATCGACGCAATTGGGATACGATGGCATGTGTCAACCAAGTCAGCGAGCCTGACCACCCGATCCCTTTAGTCACCTTTTACGACAAGCATGGGTTGCTGAAGACCAATTCTAACCCGGATCTTCACGGGTTGTTAAGGCTGTGGAAGATGAGACAGAATATATACTAGGCACATAATGAACTGCTGAAAATGCCTATGGGTTTCATTTCTTGAAGAGTATAATACCAGATGGCACACACACACAACACCCACACATCCAAAGAACTAGAATCTGTACTTTACCGAGAAATGAATTTTAAAAGTATATAATCCCATTTGGCCACTTTCTAAAAGGTATTGTGTATTCATGCCCTAAGACTCTGGAAATAATTTCATGGCTTCTTTGAAACAACATCGAGCAAAATATTAAACCAGCCGGCTCCTGACAAGTTGTCCTGTCTCATATAGCTTTAGGCTTCTCTGCCAGTCATGCACATTGTACGAGTTTGTCTTAGGGTATGTTTTGCGTTGCAAACAATATGGATTCTTCGGGCGTTTTGTGAGTATTCTTTATTTCTCTTCCCATACCCGTGTTGATACACTAAGCCTAATATAAGCAGCGACAATATTATGTACCAGCTACCAAATGGAACTGCAGAAAAGATTGTATATGAAACCACTTGAAGGTCTTGTGTTCATTTGTAAAATGAAAGACTAGATTACAATACACACAGCGGTTGTCTCTATAAACCTGTTCATATTCTGGCATATTTCTCATAGCTGTCACACACACACACACACACACACACACGAGAGAGAGAGAGAGAGAGAGAGAGAGCGAGAGAGAGAGAGAGAGAGAGAGAGAGAGAGAGAGAGAGAGAGAGAGAGAGAGAGAGAGAGAGAGAGAGAGAGAGAGAGAGAGAGAGAGAGAGAGAGAGAGAGAGAGAGAGAGAGAGAGAGAGAGAGAGAGAATCATAGTTACTAACTCAATACACTGATTAGTGACAAGAAATTATTATCTTCAAACAATCATGATTGAGTGTGTGAGTTTAGTTTTATGCCGCTATTAATTGGTAATATTCCAGCATATCACGGCGGGGACCCTACAAATAGGCTTCACACATTGTACCCATGTGGGGATTCGAAGGAAAACCAGGGTTTTCGACTTGACGAGCGAACACAATAACCCACCCAGGCCAACCCGCTCAATCAAAGGCTAGATGCTAGTCTACTGACATGCCTAAGGTACGGGACAGTGACTTATGGAGAATGTTAAGTTAACATCAAATTGACATTTTGTTAGATCCCACTGATCAAGTTCCTACCTGTGCCGGTCCACCAGCAGCTGCAGCTGACCCATAACCTATCAAAAGATGTCAAAAGAGAGTGAGTGAGTGAGTGAGTTTAGTTTTACGCCGCACTCAGCAATATTCCAGCTATATGGCGGCGGTCTGTAAATAATCGAGTCTGGACCAGACAATCCAGTGATCAACAGCATGAGCATCGATCTGCGCAATTGGGAACCGATGACATGTGTCAACCAAGTCAGCGAAACTGACCACCCGATCCCGTTAGTCGCCTCTTACGACAAGATAGTCGCCTTTTTATGGCAAGCACATGGGTTGCTGAAGACCTATTCTACCCCGGATCGGGATTCGAAGGAAAACAAGGGTTTTCGACTTGACGAGCGAACACAATAACCACCAGGCTACCCCACTGCTCAATATGCATACTTGAAAGTAACTAAAATATACTGTATATGTTCATTTCAAAGGCTAGATGCTAGTCTACTGACATGCCTAAGGTACGGGACAGTGACTTATGGAGAATGTTAAGTTAACAACTGATTGACATTTTTTTAGATCCCACTGACAGTTTCAAGTTCCTACCTGTGCCGGTCCACCAGCAGCTGCAGCTGACCCATAACCTATCAAAAGATGTCAAAAAGAGAGATGTCATTGTGAAGCATTACATTCATAACCTTCAAACCCAACTGGAGCACTGGGTACAACATCCACAGGTACGTAGACATAAATCTGTAGTGCTGAGACACACAGGCGTGAAGAGTTAAATCTGTAGTGCTGAGACACAGGCATGAAGAGTTACATCTGTAGTGCTGAGGCACAGGTACGTAGACATAAATCTGTAGTCCTGAGACACAGGCGTGAAGAGTTACATCTGTAGTCCTGAGACACAGGCGTGAAGAGTTACATCTGTAGTGCTGAGACACAGGCGTGAAGAGTTACATCTGTAGTCCTGAGACACAGGCGTGAAGAGTTACATCTGTAGTCCTGAGACACAGGCGTGAAGAGTTACATCTGTAGTCCTGAGACACAGGCGTGAAGAGTTACATCTGTAGTCCTGAGACACAGGCGTGAAGAGGTAAATCTGTAGTGCTGAGTGAGTGAGTAAGTGAGTTTTGACTTTACGCCGCTTTTAGCAATATTCCAGCAATATCACGGCGGGGGGACACCAGAAATGGGCTTCACACATTGTATCCATGTTGGGAATCGAACCCGGGTCTTCGGCGTGACGAGCGAACGCTTTAACCACTAGGCTACCCCACCGCCCCTAAGATTAACGAACTCTTGAGCTTAAAGATATGTGTTTAGATAGTATAGAAAAACAACATAAGTCTATATGAATCTGATAAACAAACCAATGCCGAGACACAGGTGCGAAGATTTAAATTTGTAGTCTTGAGGTACGAGTGCGAAGAGTTAAATCTGTAGTCCTGAGACACAGGTACGTAGAGATAAATCTGTAGTGCTCAGACACAGGTGCGAAGATTTAAATCTGTAGTCCTGAGACACAGGTGCGAAGAGTTAAATTTCTTGTCCTGAGGTAAAAATTATTTTAGTCGCCTCTTACGACAAGCATGGGTTGCTGAAGGCCAATTCTAACCCGCATCTTCATGGGCATCTGCGATGTGAACTGATCTGTACTTTGGCTTCATGGTATCAGTAAATCAGGGTTTTGATTGGGAAACATTCCATGAACAAATATGACACCATTAATACTTTGAAATTAGTATAATATACACCTTGGCCATTAAGTCTAAAGTGTAAAATATAGATTGTAAAGAAAAGAGATTGTAATGTTGTCGGATTTAATGGGGTATCATTCATCAAAATGTGACTGTTTCGTTTTTCATGCCTCAATCATTTACTTACATGTTGAAAAGGACAGAATATATATTCAGCGGAAACAATATTTGATTAAGTATTGTAAGAAACAAGAAAATATAAAGCGGATGTCTGCAGTGAAAATACGTGAACTTCACTGGTTCCTGGACCAACCTCGCATTATATATTGTCCCATTGCAAAATCTGGCTCAACATTCTGGCGACGAGCTAAAGAGGTAACGAGGAGGAAGGACCCAAAGAGTGTTTCACCTTTTCAGCTATCGTATCGTGACTTCAAAGAATCCAATGCCAGGATTCCACTCAATATGACCGAGACGACTAAAGCGGAAGACATGACTAACCACTTTGAAACCACTCTTAAATTCTTTTTTGCTCTGGATCCGTACAACAGGGTATTCTCCGTATTTATAGATACAATTCTGTCGCCGAACCCTTATCTTTGGGGTCTTGGTAAAAACGCGATTGGGATGTTTAGATCATCCTATATGAATACCAAGGAGACTTGTGGATCCGATGTTTCGTTTGATGAATATGTCAAGTATTTAAACACTCGTCAGTTTAAAACAATTGACCCTCACCTCGACCGGTTGCGTACACATGCGACGCATGCGCAGTAGACTATGACATCATTTGCAAGATGGAAACGTTCGAAGATGACACACGGTATATTTTGAAAAGGTAGGGTCCTATAACAGTGATATAATATTCAGAGATATGAACACTGAGTATAAGGTGGATTACATAGTTGATGCTGTGGTGAGGGCGTATGACCTTAGGGAGGGATGGACGCGGTGCCTAAGTCTTCATGCAGGAAACCAGAGATTATGGCGTCAGTTGCAAATAGGAGGGATGATAGAGAAAATACAGTCGTACCCGCTTTCACCCGAGCAGAGTAACAACATCACCGTGACTGAATATCTCAACATGGCACTGGAGGCCTTCAAGAAATCCGGGCCGTCGGCTAAAGCCAACAAGAAAGAAGCCTTTTAACAAGCCTATTCGATAGCGTCATTTAAAGAAATGGACAATCTCCGCCAAAACTATATGGTCGATTTTGAAATGTTTGATTATAACACGCGCCCTGAGGAACTGTTCAACGAAAACAGAAAACATTGGACTGGTTTTGACTACTTTGATGTCATGAAACTGAAGTAGTCCTGAAAGCAGCCGTTTTTATTTAAAAGTCAGCTGCATACCCGACCGAAAGTCCAGAGACGCCCCTTACTGGTTGAGCAATGTAGACTATTAGACTATCAGTGGATCAGATAGTGTCTGTATTTCGTGTTACGTTTCTTTGTTAATGAGCACATTGCCTCTTGCCATTTTGGAACACCTGAAAATATATAGTAACTGTTACTCTTACCCTGATGTGTTACTGGGTTTTGTGTGGTCATAAAATTTATCATTCATTTCACTCCTTACATGTGTCAGTATAGTTTCAACTTGAAGCAGGTGTATGAAGTCCCTGGTTCAGAAAAACGTGCCAAGAGTGAGAGTGAGTTTAGTTGTACGCCGCACTCAGCAATATTCCAGCTATATGGCGACAGTGTGTGTAAATAATCGCATTTGGACCAGACAATCCAGTGACCAACAGCATGAACATCAATCTAAGCGTTTGGGATTCGATGACATGTGTCAACCAAGCCAGCGAGCCTGACCACCCGATCCCTGACGCTCGTCACTCCGAAGACCCGGGTTCACTTCCCCACATGGGTACAATGTGTGAAGCCCATTTTGGTGTAGAGGTGTAAGTATTGTCTTTGTCCGCGTCATGTAACTAGCCAAGAGAGTGTCCAGCAGATTAACAATCAAGTTCCTTGTATCTAATATAATTCCAACAGGATTCCAAATTAACAACGTTTTACCAGACAGTGTGAAGATCAGAGGTTACAATTGGTCTTCAGCAACCCATGCTTGTCGTAAAAGATGGCTAACGGGATCGGGTGGTCAGGCTCGCTGACATTGGTCGACACATGTCATCGTATCCCAATTGAGAAGATCGAAGCTCCTGCTTTTGATCACAAGATTGCCTGGTCCAGACTCAAATATTTACAGACCGCCTACATATATTTGGAATATTGCTGAGTGCGGATTTGAACAACAAACAAAAACATAATATGTGTAAAACGGTTATTCATACTAGCTTTATTATAACAGGTCGAAGTAGTCAAACATATTTTGTTGAGGAATACTTGCTCTGTGGAAAAGTTCGGGTGGCCGATCAGGATACCCGAACGTATAGAAGTCATCAAGGTATTTCTCCCTGATGGCTTCCAAGTCTCTCAGAGATAACTGAGAATAGGCCTGCAAGTACGCTTCCTTCTTGTTGAGAATGGATAACGGACTAGACAGTCTGTAGGCTTCAAGTGCCATGTTTATATATTCCGTCACACTGATGGTCTCACTTCCGAGAGAGGTAAGCGGATATTGGCGTGTCTTGTCTATCAGTCCAGCGATTTGCAACTGCCGCCATATTCGTTGGTATCCCGCATGGCTGCTGACACAATTGATCCAAGCACTCCTTTTAACATGCTTAAGACGGAAACCCCTGACGACAGCATCGATGATGTAATCAACTTCATGCTCAGTCCTCATGTCGTAGAAAACAATCTGCTTCCCGAGCAAACCGGTTCTGTTCAAAATATACATGGCGTCGTTCGTGAAGGTCTCCATCTTGCCGATGACGTCATAATCGACACTACAAACGTCGCATTTCCCTGTTGTCGGGATAAGATGCTCGTTGTAATTATTGGGATGAAGCGTGTTCAAGTACCTAACTAATTCCACAAACTTAATATCCGCTCCGCACCCAGTGTAAAACCGCCCATCAGTCCGAACCTTCTTTATAGCCCGTTTGGCAGTATACTCCCAAAACACACTATTAGGAGCGAACATTTTGTCAATATACGTAGAAAATAGTCTATGATACGGGTCACGTGTGAAAAGGAATTTGAAAGTAGACTTGAGAGTTTTCTGTAAATCTTTCTTTCGGTTAGATTTTGTCAGTTTTATATCCAAAGCGTAATTGTTGGTTATAAAATCTGAGTATGAATACAAATACGGGGATGATAACCCAGATTTCCTTCTTTTGGCTGCTACAAACACGCGCCTCCAGAAAGTACTCCCGGCTTTCGGCACGGCACAATAAAACAAGTTGGGGTTTTTCAGAACGCTAATCTGACGCTGGAGTTTATCTGCCTTCATTTTCCCACTTCTGCGGACTCGACATATGTCCCTAACCAACTTTCGTCTGGATCTGTACATTTTCTCTAACCCTTGAAACGGTAATGTCTGAAAGGAAGAATAAGACAAATCAAATTTCCAGATTCCAGTTTATCGAGTGTGAATTTGATGTTAGGCCGCTTTTGGTAATATTCCAGCAATATCACGGCGGGGGGATACCAGGAATGGGCACATTGTACCCATGTGGGGGATTGAACCCGGGTCTTCGGCGTGACAAGCGAACGCTTTAACCACTAGGCTTCCCCACCGCCCCTAAGATTAACGAACTCTTGAGCTTAAAGATATGTGTTTAGATAGTATAGAAAAACAACATAAGTCTATATGAATCTGATAAACAAACCAAAAACGTGGGAATTTGAATACTCTTAGCTAAATCACATTAGAAGTCTGGTGAAAGACATATGCAATGTCATCAGAATTATTGTTACTATTTAGTGAGCAAGGTTTGTGATTACTAGGGGAATCACACTGAACAAAGTTTGTGATTACTGGGGGATTCACACAGCAAAGTTTGTGATTACTAGGGGAATCACACTCAACAAAGTTTGTGATTACTAGGGGAATCACAATCAACAAAGTTTGTGATTACTAGGGGATTCACTGAACAAAGTTTGTGATTACTAGGGGATTCACACTCAACAAAGTTTGTGATTACTAGGGGAATCACTGAACAAAGTTTGTGATTACTAGGGGATTCACACTCAAAAGAGTTTGTGATTACTAGGGGATTCTCACACGCAGCAAAGTTTGTGATTCACACTCAGCAAAGTTTGGGATTACTAGGGGATTCACACTGAACAAAGTTTGTGATTACTAGGGGATTCACACTCAGCAAAGAGTTTGTGATTACTAGGGGATTCATACAGCAAAGTTTGTGATTACTAGGGGATTCACACTGAACAAAGTTTGTGATTACTAGGGGATTCACACTGAAAAGAGTTTGTGATTACTAGGGGATTCACACTCAGCAAAGTTTGTGATTACTAGGGAATTCACACAGCAAAGTTTGTGATTACTAGGGGATTCTCACTGAACAAAGTTTGGGATTCACACTGAACAAAGTTTGTGATTACTAGGGGATTCACACTCAGCAAAGTTTGTGATTACTAGGGGATTCACACTCAGCAAAGTTTGTGATTACTAGGGGATTCACACTGAGGAAAGTTTGTGATTACTAGGGGATTCACACGCAGCAAAGTTTGTGATTACTAGGGGATTCACACTCAGCAAAGTTTGTGATTACTAGGGGATTCAGCACTAGGGGATTCACACTCAGCAAAGTTTGTGATTACTAGGGGATTCACACTCAACAAAGTTTGTGATTACTAGGGGATTCACACTGAACAAAGTTTGTGATTACTAGGGGATTCACACTGAACAAAGTTTGTGATTACTAGGGGATTCACACTAAACAAAGATTACAAAGTTTGTGATTACTAGGGGAATCACACTGAACAAAGTTTGTGATTACTAGGGGATTCACACTGAACAAAGTTTGTGATTACTAGGGGATTCACACTGAGGAAAGTTTGTGATTACTAGGGGATTCTCACTGAGGAAAGTTTGTGATTACTAGGGGATTCACACGCAGCACAGTTTGTGATTTACTGAACAAACAGGGGATTCACACGCAGCACAGTTTGTTTGAAATTTGTGATTACTAGGGATTCACACGCAGGACAATTTGTGATTACAAGGGGATTCACACGCAGCACAGTTTGTGATTACTCGGGGATTCACACGCAGCACAGTTTGTAATTACTCGGGGATTCACACGCAGCACAATTTGTGATTACTCGGGGATTCACACGCAGCACAATTTGTGATTACAACGGGATTCACACTGAGCCAAGTTTGTGATTACCTAAGAACTGTCGGAAATAAAAAAACCCTGATTTTTCGCATTTTTATCTACAATTTATGTAGTTAATGTGATAATGTGAAACTAAGTTCGCTCTAACTACAGTCTCGGTGGTAGGGAGATAGGAAACGTAGAAAAAGGACTTTACTGAGGAGAGATTAGTGCAGAAATGAGCAATGCAGTTTTTTCTAAGTCGAAAGCGACTTATTTGGAACAGACCAGGGCCTAGATTTTCGAAGCTCTCTTAGCGCTAAGATAGTCGTAAGTGCCATACATTGACATTAACTTACGACAATCTTAGCGCTAAGAGAGCTTCGAAAATCTAGGCCCAGGGCTCTATGCACATTAGTGTGCGATGATATTGTATTACAAAGGAACTTTTTTTAAATGCCCATTTTGAAATTAAAATTAACTTCATTATAAACGCTAGCTGACGTAAAAAAATAATAACTCTAAGACTGAAATTATTAAGGATGTAGCTACCATGGAGCCGCACTATCACTATAAAAACAAACGGATAGAAGGGGTCGTCTCAAAAGCAAAACTAGGACGGGTGTCGCAGACGGTGTTGGGGGTCGGGCTAGGGGATAGAGATATCCGCTAAGAAGAGATAATCCTTCAGGGGAATTAAACTGGGGAAGTAAACGGCATGTCATAACAATTTACAAATAATATCCAGTCCTGTCGATCTTCGGGTGGTCATGTCACCTATATATTTTTAGACATTTAATACGATAGCTAATTTAAGCTTTTCTATGGTTATCATACTCTTTTACATATCTCAACATAAACTTTATGAAAGAAAGACACGTAAGATGTTAATAGATGAGACATA